TTTTTTTTTTTTTAAATGAACTCATTTGTCATAAATTCTTGCCTCAGGATCTGCTCCTGGGGACTCAACATCAGAAACCACTGTTCTGGCTCAGTGCCGCAAAGCCTGAGACCAGCACCCACCTGAGAATTTGGGCTGTTCCTAAAGTTCCGTGGGTCACTGCTTTAGTCCCTGAATCTTTGGTTCAGATCTTTTGAGTATCACAAAAGGCTACAGGAAGCCATTGGATTCTAGGAATTCCACACTTGGGAATTCAGATGGTCACATTCCGAGAATGGGATGAAAATAAATTCTGCTTTACTTTCTGAAGGAGCTGACTGTGGCTGAGAGGTGAGGGCGGTGACGCTGCTGTCCTTCAGTCAGCTTTACGAAGGACCCTTGAGACACTAAAGGATGTAGAAGTTTTTCAACCTTTTTATATCACAGCACACTTGAACCTATACTTAAACTTCTGTGGCACACTTAAGTTATGTTGATCCCAAAAAATAAAAAGAGTTAAAGAAAAAAAGAATAAACTTAATGTGGCTTTGAACTTCTTTCAAAATGATTTAATTAATTATCTTGAAAAACTTTTGTGGTACACCAAAGATCCTCTCATGGCACACCAGTGTGTCAGGGCGCACTGGTTGAAAATCGCTGGATTAGAAGACCGAGGCTGACCAATGGGGCAGCCTCAGCCATTGCACACTTGAAGCACAGCTGGTGCAACTTGAGTGGTCTGTAAAGTGTAAAACCCACCCCTCATTTCAAGAACTTAGCATGTCAAAGGACGGTAAAAGATTTCATTAATAATTTTTATATTGATTACATGATGAATACTTTTGAAAGACTGGGTTAATTAAAATATGCTCTTAAAATTAATTCCGCCTGCTTCTTTTTACTTTTGTTAATGAGGCTATTAGAAAATTTTAAATTACGTGTGTGGCTTTCCACATTTTATTTCCAGTGGACTGGATATAATGAAGACCTTAGCTATCAACCTTCAAGGTCAGACCGAGTTAAATCTCCCCAACTTTTTCTAATGCCTTTACTTTGCCTATGTCTGGTGTGGAATTGCCCCCAGTTAACACACAGAACTGCCTCTTGCCCTCAATTATGACTACGTTTACCCAAGCATACAGTTGCCATGGAACTAGAAATGTCTAAAGTTTGACCCTTAACCCAGAAAATATCATACCAGAAATGTTATTTTAAAACCCAGGGCCAGTCGTTGTAACTCTCAGTTGAAAATTATGTAATCTGAAGAAAATCCATTTCGAGTTATTTAAAAGTTATTCTGATGTTTTTCTCCATGCACATCAAATTTGGTGGCCAAAGATTTTGCTTGCCCTTCACAGCTACTCTGCACTGTCTTTTTCAAGCCCTATGACAAGATGCAGACCTCAAAGCCTCGGTCATTCTCATCTGAACTCTTACAGCTTCCTAGCTGAGTACCTCCTCTTTGGCTCAGCCTCAAATCCATCCTAGACATGGTTGCCAGACAATCTTATCACTTCCCACTATTAAAAAATTAAAAAAATGGAAGGACAAAAACTGCAAATAAATAAATACATAAAACAGTGAAGGGTGGTGCCTGTGGCTCCAAGGAGTAGGGCGCTGGCCCCATATACCAGAGGTGGTGGGTTCAAACCCAGCCCTGGCCAAAAACTACAAATAAATAAATAAATGGAAGGGGGAAAAAAGGCCTGCAGTAGTATCACATATCTTTGCTAAATGTGTCTGTCTCTAGACACATAAATGCTCTCCACACTCGCATCCCAACTCTACATTTTGGTTGTAACGCACCCCCCCCCATCTCTTCTCTAATTCCCGTTAGACTATTTTTTGTTCTGACTTCCCACCTGTTTCCTCACCTCTGGCTCTTTTCCCAGACAGTTTCCTCTGCCTGCTTAGAACCCCCTCTTTCCGTTTCCATCCATCTGTGTTCCCTATTCCCGCAGTTGCATCTTAAATGTTACTGTATAATAAGAGTTTATTAGCGGTGCCTTAGGTCAGGAAGGAAAACACAAAAGACAAAACAAACAGCAGTAGAAATAACAAAAAAACAAGGTGGCAAAGCTGTTGAACTGAAAAAGACGTTATTTCATTGAAGAGTGAGGCAGATCAACTTCAGGGATCTCAAATAGGAGAGGACTGAGCTCTCATGGGCACCTTCTCTGGGAGAATTCTGCAGGGTTTGGAGCCCAGAATGTTTACTGTGCAGTCCAAATCATCTCCCAGAACAAAGCTTCAGCTTTATTTTGTAGACCTGTTCCATTTTCTTGACAGGCAAGTGAGATCACCCCTGAGGGGTGTGAGGAAGAGATTAGGAAAGAAGTGGGGAACTGCGAGAGGTGGGAGGAGGGAGGAGACTGCACCTTGTGTGACCTCGTGCCTGCAGGTCCTTCAGAGAACTTCTAGGTCTGTTAACATTGAAAGGTCACTGAATATATACAGCTATCATTTAATAAAAATAAATAAATAAATAAAGGTCGCTGATCTCTCTGCTTTGGAATGAGTCGCAAAGCAGAAAGATCATGTTTGCAGTTCTGTAATGAATTTGTTTGACCATATTTTAAACTTTTCTATAACAGTTTATCGGTTTCTAATACAAGGAAAATAATATAAAGTACTCAGTTATTGAAAAGCAGCATAGCAATTGCCTCCCTTTTGAATAGGGACTTTAAAAAGCAGGGGGAAAAATGATGTTTATCTATGAAGAATACTTCCTTAGAAAAAAAGTCGTCACTTGGGGATTTGAATTTAATTATGTCACTTTACCCCCACCCCTAAAAAAGAATGGGGGGCACCTTTGCTCTACAAATTGAACTGGCTGGTCTTCCTGGAAGCGGAGCTGACAGCATGCATCTAATGACTGCAGTCTTTAAGCTAATGCAAATGTGATTTACATTTTTCAGGAATGGACAAATGAGGTTTTCAGTTTGGCAACAAACCTGCTGGCCCAAAACATGTCCAGGGACGCCTTTCTGGAAAAAGCGTAAGTTGCTCTCATTTTCTTGCTAAGGGTGTTGCTTCTTCTGAGTCAGTTTCCTTTCTCCTCTGTGAGTCTTCTGTTTACACGGAACTGACTTCTCGCACACTGTTAAATAGAAATTGCCCTTTGAGGTTTGTTAAAGTGGCACCTCCCTGTTCAGAACTGGAAGGCTTCCAGCAAAGACGTGTCCTTCCCTGAAGGGAGCCCAACAGTCTTGTCTCCCGAGCATGGAGCTCACCTGAATGTCCAGGCCTTGGACACACATAAGGAGACACTTCCAGATCCTGGCAGCCGTACTCAGAGCTAAAAATTACTCATTTCAGAGATTCCTCTGCTTCCACATCTGCCAGTGTCTTCACAATGATTATTAATTCGAGGAACAGCATATGTTGCTCGTTCCTCCGGAGTCACAGATCTCTGATAGATGCTGCAAACACTTCCCCGCCAGCTCCAATCAGTAGGCTGAAGCCCTAATTCCTGCCCAGGGAGACAATCCCAGAGGTATTAGAAAGAAAAAGAAAAGGAGAAAAGATGTTAAGGAAGGAATAGCAAGAAAAGAGGGCAAGGAAAGCCAAACAGATTCCAGACCACTCTGGATTGCAACAGTCTCTCAAAAAACTGACCAAGGAAAATACTGACTTATGCCAGATGAGCAGGGCGGAAAGCTGGTCGTGTTCGTTTTGGAAGCTGTGCCCGTTCAGGAGGGTGGGAAAGCTTTTAATCAAAGCCACAATGGAAACATTAATAGGTGGTCCTCTCTTTGACTTGGTAGCGTCCTCTCTCTCCTGGCCTTCTGTAAGACACACCTATCATGCCAGACCTAATACTGAAGCCACATTTCTGTTTTTCTCTTCTACGAGTTACTTTTACTTTCAGCCGGTACCTCACAAGTCCTCATTTAAATGCTTTTCACGGGGTCTTGAAGACCCTTCCCTGTATCTCCATCCTCTCCCTTCCTTTCTCCTCCTTTCTCTCCCCCCCACCCCCTACTACCTTTGCGTCTATCGTCCTTCTTTTAACAAACATTTCCAGAACATCTGCTGTTCTGGGCGATGTTAGTTGAAGGAGATGTAGAGATAAAGAAGATGTTCTACCCAAAGCTGTGTTAGAGTGAGTGGGCTAATCGTTAATGTTGCAAATTGTTCCGTATAGGCCCCTCCCTGTGAGCAGCAGCTATGGACCTTCTAGATCTCCTCTCGTGGTGAACGTACTGTAAACATTTTTGTTGCATACACACCTCGATGTGGGTGTTCTGGGCGACAGTGCGTGCAGTTTCCTGAATTGGTTTCCCAGTTTACACGTCTGTCCTCAGAGATGGAGAGCTCTGTGGCTTTGTGTCTTCCCTGTGTGTTTGTGAGCAGTAGAGGCAAATTTCAGTAGAGGCAAAATTCACCACGCAGAGAAGAGAATGAGCAGAGGATGGATCTCAAAAGTACTTCACTGAGGGAAAGAAGCCAAGCACAAAAGCACGTGCTCCCCTTCCGTAAGGCGAACAACCGAGCAAAAAGAATCTGAATTGCCTCCGGGGGCATAGACCCTGGCAGGGAGCGTGCGGTGGGAGCTTCTACTCAGGTGACAAGGCTCTAGTGTGTGATCCGGGTGCCCACTGTGGAGACTTGGGCAGTTTGTGACAATTGAACAAATTCTATATAGGCATGAGCCTTTTTCTATGTGATTGATTCTTCCATAATGGCATAAATGTATCGACGATCCACATACAAATGACTTAATTTTTAAAAGAGAGGGAAAAAAAGCTTTTTTAAAAAAATAAAATAAAACTCTTGTTTCTCTGCTTCTCCCACAGCTACACCAGACTTAAGCTGCAAGTCACTCCAGAAGGGCGTATTCCTCTCAAAAAGTAAGCCTCTCGTGTATTTCCCTGTATTCATTATTTTTTCTTTCTAAGACTTGGGTCTGCGCCATGGTTCTGTCTTGTTTCCCTGCTGGTCTGAGTGGGAGCACACTGGTGTCACCTCCTGCACGCCTCACGTCAGCACAGCTGGTTTCCTCGTAGACATGTCCCTGGAGTCTCCGCTTCCTGTGGCATCATTTTCAAGAAACACCAAAGCAGGAAGGGGGTGGAGGGAGTGGGGGAACCTCACTACTAAATGCAAAAAAAAAAGTGAGATTTAGATCCACTCTGCGGGTGGGAGGAGTTGGGTAACCTTAGTACTTCTTTCTGGCAAGATGGCCCTAGCCTTAAAAGCGGAGGTTGCAAACTCAGATGCCAGCAGCAGCCAGACAGGGAACTTAAAGGATGAATCAGGTCAGAAGTAGGAAAAAAAACAAAGAGCAAAACCTGTGTAGGGGAGACAGCAGCAGCTCCCTCCTCCCATATCCTGTTGGATTGGTAAGCCCCTGACACTAGGTTTTCTAATGTCTCAATAGACTCCATAAACCCAAATTAGTATATTGAATTGTCCTGTACTGAAGCTCTGCTTTTTAAAACCAAATTAGTGGGTGAGGAATAAAAACTCCCTTATCTGGTACAACGTACACAATTCTGGTAGTGGGCACACTAAAAGCCCCCATGTCAGCATTGTATGATTCATCCATGCAACAAGACCAATTGCACTCCCTTCGTTATCCTGAAATTAAGAAAATAAATAAATATAACCACATTGATGACCAAAGAAAGTACCTTATCTCTAGATCATATTCAGCCAAAGGTCTTTAACCTTAGATCTTACAAGATCCCAGTGAGTTTCTGTTAATAAACAAATTGTTAACAAATAATTGTTTTTAATAAGCTCAACACTGTTGTCTCAAAATCTCAATTTCATAGTAGACACTTTCATTCTATGAAGGACACTCATGCAGCTTTTAGAACAGAGACGCAGCCCCATGGAGGAATGGTTAGCTTTCATTCTTCACAGGCGACTCCTAAACAGACGTGATTCAATGGCCTATTCTGCGGTGAAGTGGTTATCGGTGCTGTGACCCACATGCCTTTTCAACCTCTCTGCTTTGTTTTCACTTCACAGCATATACCGCCTGTTTTCAGCAGACCGGAAGCGGGTTGAAACCGCTTTAGAGGCTTGTAGTCTTCCATCATCAAGGGTGAGTGCGTCACCTTACAGTGCTATGGTTTGAATGTTCCCTCCAGGACTCCTGTTGAAACTCACTCCCCAGTGTGTCAGTTTTGAGAGGTGGGGCCCTGAAGAGGTGATTGGGTCAGGAGGGCTCTGCCCTTGTGAATGGTTTAATATATTCTTAGATTAATGGGCTAATAGGCTAATGGGTGGATGGGTTATCACAGGAGGGGAGTGGCTCCGTAAAAGGAGAAAGAGACGGAGCTGGCCTGTTGTTAAATGTTCAGCCCCTTCCCACGGGCTGCTTCACACCGGAGCACACTCAGGTCACAGCACACAGTCCCCACCCACCTGTGAAAAGGTCCTCACCAGCATACCCCTGACCTTGGACTTCCCAGCATCATAACTGTAAGAAAGAAAACTGGATTTGGAACTGGGTAATGGACGGAGGCTGAAAGAATTTGGAGGAGCAGATTAGAAAAAGCTTAGATTCTGGTGAAGGCTTAGGAGACAAAAGACAGAAAAGCTTGGAACTCCTTAGAGATTGGCAAAAATAGCTCTTACTAAATATATATTGCCCCAATGTTACCTAAACATAATTTTTCAATTACGAAGCCCGTAACTTATTTGTTAACATTTGCAGTGTATGAAACTGCTGCTATTATACTCTTTCCCTCCCGTAACCCCAATAAATCTAGAATGACCCCTTGCTTTTGGCAGATTAAAAAAAATAATCATCTGATTAGCTCGTATAAAAAAAATGAGCCAAAAAGGTCAATCTTATCAAAAAGGTAATTTGAAATGTAGATTCAAACTCATCATGAACAATAAGCCCTTTCTTGATATCTCTTGAGAGATTAGTTGATGATAGCGTGAAGCCATTATGTTCAGGAAGATACTTGAAATATTAATTTCATCCTATTAATTTCTAGCTTAAATATTTGCAAGTTACATAAACAATTAGTATGGTAATACATATTTAAATAAATATATTTACATACTCTGCAGGGACTCAGAAAGTTTTTACAGAAAGAGACAGATGCAGGATCAAAATAGTTTTCAGAACGCCTGCTTTGCTCATTTGTGGAGAAGGAGTTGAGAGGACAAGCATCTAACCTGCCTGGTGTTTCATGCCTGACGTACACCAGGCACTCCATGATCCCTAATGGCCTGGATTAAAGTAATTGGCCTTCATCTCAGTCCGTTCTACATAACTGACTCTAAAAGGATTTGTTGCCATTGTTGCTGGGGGACTAGTGTATAAAACCCTTTCCTCATGCTATATGTAGAACTCACCTCTGTGTTACAAATATATTTTTTTATCTTAGTATCTAAGTAACAAGTAAACCACTTCCTAAGGATACCACTGACTGACTCTTGAAACCTGCTAGCGATGTTCAAGTTGCAGTGAATGAAGCTGCAAAGTCATCCTTAAACTTATGATTGAATTATAAAAATTATTGAGTGCTCTTATTAAATTGGTCAGCCAATTCTTGCTGTAAATCGTGTTCAAAACATGAATGTGTTTTTTGTAACAACTTTGGTAGGTGACAGGGATAAAGAGTAGCTCTGCACAACCACTGTCCTTCTGAAAGCTCAGCTGCCAAGAAGCTGAGCAGAGCTGAGAAAGGCTCCCCACACAGTTCAGCTCACTTCACTTCAGTAAACAAAATGAGACGCTTGAGACATTTGCTAAACTATGAAGGGATGTCCAACGTGTGGCCCGAGGGCCACATGTGGATTATTTGAAGACAGTTTTGTGTGTCTGTGTTGTCAGATACCATGAAAATTATACACATATGCATGGACCTTTTCTTTTGTTTTCGTTTTGTTTGGAGGGGGTTATTTTCTCATCAGATTTTGTTAGTGTTTTTGTATTTAATGTGTGACCCAAAATAACTTTCATTCCTTTGATGTGCAGTAGAAAAGAAAAAGGGTTGGACGCCAGACAGTGGATTAAAAGAAAGAAAAAAAAAAGGTGTTTGAACTTGTGTCCTGTTGCTTTTGGTTAGATGCTTTGGTTTAAGAAAGATACAACAAGATCTTATCACCGACTCAATAAATATTTCTTGAGCTCTAACTATGTGCCCATGGGTCCTAAGAATAAGGTGGCAAACATAATGAAGTTTGGGGTTTCAAAGACCATAGCTCTTTCGGGAGAATTAGGTAATAAACATGTCAACAAATACGTTTGTAAATTGAATGAAGTGCTATTAAAAAAGGGAGTGGTGCCACTGAGAATACGGGAAGCTTATTCTAGAAAGAGAAAGCAGTGTGTGTAAATCCCTGAATCTGGGAAAAAATTACTGGATCTGAGCAACTAGGAAAATACCACTGCGTTCAAACATAAAAGGAAAGTGTAAGCGGGGGATTTGCAAAGACATGTTAAGAATTTTTTTCTTTGCAATTGCTTCCTGTTTTACCTTTCCTGGATAACATTTTGGGGAATATAATGATCAAAATCTTTAACTTACTGTTATAAATTTAGCAAAGGGAAAGAAGGACTAGAAAAGGAAGTTGAATAGAAAATCCAATCCATCAACTGTTCTGTAAGTGGCAATGTTCTTAACAATTGGATTCTAACAATTCAGTCAATAGACATAAATTGACTCTTTATAATCTACTTTGTCTATTATAGGTTCAAGTTTTCAGAACAATGTCAACTGGAGACACTTTAAAAGGAAAATATGATTCAATAACAGGAGTTATGTTTAAATGAGAAAAACAATTATATTTAGCAAATTAAATGTAATGACAGTTTTCTGAAAACAAAATGAAGATATTTAAAAAATATATAATCAACCTCTCCATCATGAAGTTTTGAAAGATCGTTAGTCACAGTAAAGTATAATTAACTTGGAGGCCTTGTAGAAATACAATGTTTTTTAAAAAGTCTAAAAACCAAAGACAGTTTCAGGCTGTCTTATCATTTAGCACTTAGAATCTTAGCACTCTGGGAGGTTGAGGCAGGAGGACTGCTTGAGCTCAGGAGATCAGCCTGAGCAAGAGTGAGACCCCTATCTCTACTAAAAGTAGGAAAATTGATCAGGCATTGTGGGGGGTGCCTCTAGTCCCAGTTCCTTGGGAGTCACCCTAGGAGTTTGAGGTTGCTGTGAGCTAGGCTGACCCCATGGCACTCTGACTCAAAAAAAAAAAAAAGGGAACAGTTTCAGAGACACAAAATAAATGTTTCTACGAACTGACTGTGACACGTCAAAATTATATTTTAAATCGTTGTAATCATTTTATGTCTATGTAACAGTGGCTTTCAAAAACATCCACTAGTTAGTTAGCAAAAAGATTCTAGATATATTAACAAGAGGTATTTTAAACACCCCAGTGAAGCAAAGGGTTATAAAAATGGCAGATCATCCTGAAAAATTGGAATCCTACCTCATAGCCAGCAGTCAGTCATTCCAGCTTGCTTTAATTGTGTTCTGTAAATAGATACAATACCAGAACCACAGTGGATATCCTGTTGAGATTTTTTAAACATTATCTTTGTGCACATTGTTAAGGATAATTAATGCACTTGAACTTGTGTCCTGGCTGACATGATCCATTGGAATGACACATTCCTTTCGAAGGTGCTCCTTTAGAGATTACAGTTGCTAGCCGAAAGTTACCCTACTTGTTAAAAAGTAGCACTGTATCCAAAAAGAGAGACAAAGCAATTACTGGCCTTCTATTAATAATCCAAACATATTTTCCAGAGAGACCTTTGAAAACCTTTTCTTTCTCTGAAAATTACCACTGTACCTGCAAACTTTCTGAGAAATGAAAATAGTTTATTTTTGTTAAATTCCCTTGACGTGAGGCTTATTAAGTTGAAAAGAGCTTGGTGGTACTTGGGATTGTGTTTTAATCTTGCCATAGCATCGGGATATGGAGTTGCATCTTAATGAAGCAGATACAGAACAAAGCTATGTATTTGTTTTAAATATTATGGACGCAAATGTAGTGCAAAGAGAAAATAATTATTTGGGTTTTTTTTTTAATTTTACTAAAGAATAGTATGAATAAAATTATTATGATTATTATATTTGGAGTTTTTGGCCAGGGCTGGGTTTGAACTCACCACCTCTGGTATATGGGGCCGGTGCCCGACTCCTTTGAGCCACAGACACCACCCAATAAAATTATTTTTCAAACTTCTCTATATAACTTTAGTATATTGCCTTTCTGCTATTCCTTCCATCCCAAATATAAGTCAGAAACATAATCATTTTTGCAGTTGTGATTCTTAAATTCATGAACATCAAAATTCTATTTTAAAACCATATGGAGTATTAAGTCTATTATAAGTGATGTACTTGTAGTTATTTCATGCATTCTGCAAATATTCTAACTTTTGACTTGCAGTTTTAGGACAAAAACATTGAGGATAGGTTCAATTTCTACATTTTCTGGAATAAAATCGACTTGTCAAGAAAAAAATCTACATATGAACTCTATTCAATGAAAGTTCACTCAATAAATTATATATATATTTAAATAACCTTTTCCTGAATGTTAAGTATCTGTTCATCATATAATTTTTTAAAATCTCAAAATGTACAAAGGAGAAAATACAAACCAACATCCCAAAACTCACGTGAATATTTAGTTTACTGGTTTATAGCATGAGTCACAGAATCAAGCAACCTAGATTCAAAATGTAGCCATTGCCACCACTGCCACCACCCTCCATTGCTCACCAAGGGCCTCAAGAAAAGTTCTGTAACCTCCCAGCACCCAAGTGTTACTATCTATAAAAATGGGACACTGGCAATGTCACTTGATAGAGGTGATGTAATGAAAACATCCAAGTAAAGCTCATAGAACTATATGCTTGCATTGGGTAAATGCATAATAAATATTAATTCTCATTATCACTTTGAGTATTTTTTCATATATATGCATACCTGGGGTTTTTTTCTTTGTTTTAATTTTTAATTTGGCAAGTGGATGTGACTTTAACAAGGTCTGTGAAATCTGGAACTGCAAATTTCACCAGTAGTACCAAAAAGATTTTAAAAAACATATATTCCCTTTTGAGATTCCTTGCATGCAAGCATGGAATTGACGCACTATCGTATTTCAAGTTTGCCAACACTTTGCCTTTTCTGAAATCAATGAGCCTGTTTCCATTTGTACTGATTTAGATGACACCAGCCTTCTTAATTCACCATTCAAAAAGTTCAAGTAACAGTAGCAACAAATAACCCCTGATGATCTAGTCTGTATTGGGTGTCAGATGGAATGGACCAAGTCCTGGATTACAAACTGTGACTGAAGTCCTGGTGCTATCTCCTGGGTCCATCTAGCAAACACCAGTGTCTATTAAACAGCAGGCACCACGCTGAGAACACAGAGGAATTCAGTTATCACTTCACTCAAAAACTCACAGTCTAGTAGAAAATCAGAAATACACAAAATGAAGAGCTGTGTGATGGATGCTATGGTAAAGGAGAATTGGGGACACAAAGAAAAAATGTGTCACTTTTAGCCTGTGTGGTTGGGAAGTGACACAGCAGTGTTTGAAGGTTGGGCATGATCTTAAGAGTACTAGACTTTTGGTTTTTTTCCTAGTCAAAGAGGAAAAATGAATCTGTGCATTCACATCATCAAATCACGAGATCCAGAAAGGCCAAGTGCACGAGGGAGCTCTGTGAATTTCAGCCTTGTTTAGAATGCAAGGAATTGGGAATTCTCTGCAGCTTTTTCCTAAATATCTCCCCTATCCTCTTTTATTTTAGCTTTCAATGATGCCCATCCATTTTAACTCCTCTCTGCAGGAGTTTTTACCCTATTTTCCCCTATTTTCACCCCCAAAGACTTTGGGGTATTCCTGTCAGTCAACTTGGGCAAGATGAGATAAAGAAAACCAGCAATAGTGAAATGTTCTCTTTTTCTATGTGCTAACATGGAACCAGCACTAAAAATAAGGTGGTATTGACTCAGATTATCTCCTTAATTTGATCTCTTCAATAGAAATTCCTCCTTCACAGCTGGTATGTAAACAATGATTAGATGTGTTAATAAAGTGTATCATTCTATTAAGATCTCGTGTAAATGATGTTGGTTAAATCTGATATTCCGCAGAAGATCCAACAGGAGCCCTCACAATCACTTCCCACCTTTCTCATCAATTATCTTCATGCACGTAGTAAACATTTCCTATGTGCCTGCTACGCGTTACACACTGGAATACAGCAGTGAACAGGCAACACCCCTGTGCTAGCTTGTGGACCTCTGCAAGTTAGCAAGGAATAGAGAGGGCCGTACAACCAGGCACACCATACAATTGAGTGATTCCCGAAATCTGAGACAAACAAGGTGTGATGGGCGCTCAAATAGCAGCAAAACCCAGTTCAGGAGGAAGACAAGGCTTCCCAGAAGATGAGATTCTAAACTAAGGCAAGAAGGAAGAAGCAGAGAGGTCAGTAAGAGAAGGGAGACAATTATTGATCTCCTTAGATAAAGTCAGTGTCTGTATGCTGGATGAGGTTGAGGGAGGGAGAGGCGGAGTGAACTTTGCTTAACAGGGACAGAAGGAGAGAAGGCACTTGGGGGTTGTAAAATCAAAAAACATGCACGCACCTGAGTAGGTCAGCCGCTCCATTGAGCCTTTTCTTGTAATTGATTTTAAATCTTTCTTTTCCCTGTGTCTCTCAGCCAAAGAGTCAGGTAGACAGGGTCATTTGCAACCATTAACTATTTAAAGATCTGTGGATGCCTAACTCAGAGACGAGGTAGCCCTGAAAACTATGCCTTCTCCAGCCAAAGGGATTTCTGTCTTTCTGTAAATCAAATGGCATTTGGGGAACATGTTTACAGGTTGTAGTTGTCCTCATTTTGTGAAGGGCAGAATACCAATAAAAAAATCTGTGAGAATTTCCCACTGTTCTTGGATTTGACCACTTGTGGTCATGGTTTCAAAGCTTGTGTCTGAGGAGACCTAAGTCTAATGGTATCGTGCGTCTCTCTATGTAAGATGATTCATGTGTGGTTTGCTTGTCTCAAAATTCTACTTTCCAAAATATATCCACAATTGTGGGGATCCTGCTATTGCCAAGTGTTGAGCTGTCTGTTTGCAAGCAGTGAGCAATTTCAGACAATCATTTTTAGACCTTTCTATAAAAGTACATTTCAAAACATGATGAATATGGTAAAAAAAAAAAAAAAGCAGCGTTTTCTTTGGTTTAAGTTCTTGAAAATAAAAATAGTCATATAAACACATACCTGAAATAGAAGAAGTGTATGAAAAATGACCTTCCTGTTAACAAAGGCTTGAATACAAGCTTCCGGTCTCCATGGTAGCACAACCAAACTGAGACGTAAGTCACGGAAGCGCTCTTTGGGCTTTTTTGTAGTAGTGACTTGTTTCCCAAACAAGAGGGCTAGCAGCAATCGGTGAAAATGGCACGTGCTATCCTGCTTATGAAAACTGTTCTACAACTTATAAGATTATGTAAAACAGAAGTAACATTATTTGGGAAAAAACTGTAAAATTTGAATTTCTGTTTTCATTTTGATTACGTCTGTCTCTAGGGTCATTACTTCAAATATATATATATATATATATATTCCTCCAAACACAGCACAACAGTGTGTGTGGACTTCCTGCCCCTGATCTCTACACTAAAAAATGGTTAAAATGGTAAATTTTATGTTGTGTGTATTCAGCACAATAAAAAACAAGATTCAGGCCAAACAAAACAGAAAATCTATTAAATAGACCCCATCTTTCTTGCCTCTAACTTATTTTTATAAATGTACATAGGAAATTGCCTTCACATCCCTTTAGCAGGAGAAATGCCTTGAACTTATGATAAAATGAAAACCCACAGAAAATAAAGGTTTTGACACCCTACAGCCCGTATCCCAGTGAACTCTACGGTTGACCTCACAGATGTGTTCTGAATATTTAGCCTGACCTTCTAGAAGAAAGGGAAAAGGAAAGGAAGGAAGGAGGGGAAAAAAAGGAGGGAAGAGACAGAAAGAAGGAAACGGGGGGAGCAAGTTAGGGAGAAAAAAATACCCATTTGTTGACCTGCCGTTTTCTTTCCCAGAATGATTCAATACCTCAAGAGGACTTCACTCCAGATGTGTACAGAGTTTTCCTGAACAACCTTTGCCCTCGACCTGAAATTGATAACATCTTTTCGGAATTGTAAGAGGACTTATTTTAATGTACTCCCCACCCCCAGCCTTCATGGATACTCAGGGTGGCTAGGGAAGGATGCTGAGTGGTAATTGGAGATGCAAGTGCATCATACACCATTTCTAAAGCAGTGCTTTGTGTGATCTGCTGGACAGGATCGGACATTCTCGCCCCTGGGGTGCAACCACTGCTTGTACTGGGTAGAAGTTTGCTGTGATTTATCACTGGGGGAAGTTGTTTTAGTATGTTCAGGTGACTCTGTGTGGTTTGAAGATTATGGGTAGAACAGGGAGGCATCTTGGCTTAGTGGAGACAGACTCGTGTGGCAGAAAGAACTAGGGACAGAGAGTCATTTTACCTCTTGGGAACCACATTAGTGAAATGAGAACTTTGGATTACTAAGAACTCCTTTAGCTGAAAAAATTATTTGCTTATCTGTTAAAATATATAAATTTATAGAGGCATCTTTTTTTAAAAGACAGGGGAAAAAGAGAAAAGAAGCAATTTAAGAAAAAACACTAAGTCAAATATGGGGAAGGAGCAATTTACCTTTCTCGATATGCTGAAATCTACCTGACAGGTTTGGCGCCCATACCTCAGTGGTTAGGGCGCCAGCCACATACACCCAGGCTAGAGGGTTTGAGCTGCGCCCAGACCTACTAAACAACAATGACAACTACAACCAAAAAACAGGGGGGCGTTGTAGCAGGTGCCTGTAGTCCCAGCTACTTGGGAGGCTGAGGCAAGAGAATTGCTTAAGCCCAAGTGTTTGAGGTTGCTGTGAGCAGTGATGTCACAGCAGTCTACAGAGGGCAACATAGTGAGACTCTGCCTCAAAAAAAAAAAGAAAAGAAAGAAATCTACATGACAGAAAATCTATCCACAATATGATAAATAAAGTAAAGACTTCTTCATATAGAAGATAGAAAAACAGTACTGCTGAGAATGCACTAGGATATTCTTATTTTGTGATGTTCATTGCCATGAAATATTTATTGAACATCAGAGATATTTATACCATTGAACTTGTCTTTGGGTTGTCAATGAGATTGAAACAGGCAGTTTGTATTGTACTATATTGAGAAATTACAGGTTCTTGTTGAAGTGTAACTTTATTGAAAATCAAGTCCCAACATGTTGTTTATTTTTTTAAAAGTGATGGTAATGAATACATCTTTAAATGATTAAGTAGGACATGGGAGTTTGATAACTAAACCAGCAGTCCAGTGTCATGATGAAAAAATGATCCCTACTTCTTGCATTCAATTTAGAGTGGTCAATCTCTAGGCACACAAGGCAGTGTCTTCCTGCTGTGGGTTTTCTTACACATTTGGTATTTGGTATTTTTCAAGAGCATAGGGTTTTAGAGATGGTGATTGCAAAAGCTACTTGTAGCCCACAGAAGAAATTGTGGTGGATCAGCACAGGGTTCCAGGGTGAGACAAAGATTTCAATACCACCTGCTCTCATCAGGTGTGGCAGGATTTTATTTCCCTCAAGTTAAACGCAAATCTATGAGTGGAATTTGGCAGAAAAAAAAATCTCATTTCTTGGTTTTTAATTGTTTTTAGTGGTGCCAAAAGCAAACCGTACCTTACCGTCGATCAGATGATGGATTTTATCAACCTCAAGCAGCGAGATCCCCGGCTGAATGAAATCCTTTACCCCCCTCTAAAACAAGAGCAAGTCCAAGTGCTGATTGAGAAGTACGAGCCCAATGAGAGCCTCGCCAAGAAAGGTCAGTGCTTTGTTCCAACCAGAGGGAACCTCTTGCTTCCGATTGTAAATGGTCGCATCTCGGCGACCAGAGGACTTCATAAGGATTAGTTGAAGTTAGGTCCCCAGTTTTGACACCTGCTTTCCTTTCTGTCTGGAATCCTCCTGGGTGGTGCAGCCTGAAGTAGATTTTTTTGTTTTTACTTTAGTGTGTGGTATTTTGCTATTGTGATATCTATATATGTCTGTAATTTTTTTTAATGCCTAAGGTGTGTGTTTTGCTGTAAATTTACCCAGTGACTGGATGTCCCTTTTGCATACAGGAATTCACTATCTGGAAAATTACCTTTTCAGATCTATTTTCTAGGAAGTCCTGGGAAGTGGCCCATAGATTTTTCTAAATCTTTAAAACCGAAGAAAGTCCTCCGTCTCTTAGACCCCTACTTTATTCCAGGTTACACTACAGGATGAATTGCTCCACGTGGGTGAATAGTCTAAAATTAGGACTTCCATGTAAAAAAATGTAGTGTTGTAGATAAAATTAGTTCCAAAATGGATATTATAAAGGAAGCACTGTGTTGCCTGGGAGTTATTAAGAAATTTATATTTTTGATTCTGAGAAAATAAATTGTC